CGCTATAACAAACGTCTCACGTGCTCGAGTTCAATTACACACACACTGACTGCTGTTCAATTACTCACTACCTCTCCATCGCTTCGTGGCCAGTCTTATATATACAAGACTACACTATATCTAGTAATCTCCCGACAATTCAAGAAGGTTCGAGAATGACGTGGCGTGATACTAGTCACGTGACCTCGATGTCGTAACAGTATTTTTATATTTTGTTTATTTCCTAATGTATTTTGTTGTGGAATTTTAATAACGAAAAACTGGACAAAATGAACACAACAACAACGTGAAAAACATCCTCATCCGAAAAAGCCCACCAGTGGCACAACGGTAAGTTTGCAGACTTATAATGCTAGAAACCGGGTTTCGATACCCGTGGTGGACACAGTACAGATAGCCCATTGTGTAGTTTTGTGCCTAACTTTAAACAACAACAACTTCAACTAAGTTTCAAAATAAATTTCTTTGTTGTGTTTCTATACATCTGTAAAACGTCGATCTCGGGCCCTCAGGTGCGGGAATTTTCGGCATTTTAATATGATATTGATCATGGTTTTTCTATTCTGAATATTTGTTAACAGTTTATTGCCTAACGAAAAAAAAAGCAAGGTTTTTGTGTATTTTACAATATTTACGCATTTCAACTGATAGACTAGACGGAAAGCAGCTAATCAACAGAACCCACCGCCAACTCTTGTCTGAACAAATAATGGCATTTGACCGTATCTTTTATAGCATACTTATGATCCTAACGTGCACAGTTAGTTGTTGGTTTTTTTTTTTCGGCAACGGGACGCGAACCATAAATGCATGGATTCACTGTCCGGGCACTCTAACCACCAGACCATGCCTTACCTCACCACAACTAAATAAAGAAATAAAAATGTTGGTCTACATTTTACGGTCTTGTCAATGAAGAAGTACAGTTTCACTTTTTTTACTTTTTATACTTACCTACAAACAAAAATCTGTCTTTAATTATGATTATATTTTATGTAATAATTTTAAAAGAAGAAAATAACAAAATAAAAAACTCCTTGATGGTGAAGGGATAAGTTATTTAGGCATCAGATGCACTTAACCCTATTCATAAATGTTTTACACACAAACGACTATTCTTGTTCCAAGACTAGCAGTGTTGCAAACAGTTCAAACTTTCGTTAAATTAATCAGCATTTTTTTGCCTGTTTTGTTGCCTAAGTGAGGTCGGCAACACTTACATTAAAGTCAAATAATTAATCAATTAATTGTGTCAGCTAAAAGCTCATTTTCTTGGTCTTTTTTTCTGGCAAATTGTCTCTTAAGTTCAGAGTTCGAGCTAAGCGATTTTCAATTGACAATATTTCCAGATCTATCGGTTTGTCTCTGGCAATGGCGGAACTCGGATACCTTTTCATTAGCTTCTACTTACTAATAGATAGTAGCCTGGTGGTTCGGGAGTGTTCGATTCGCAATCTGAAGGATCGGGGGTTCGAATCCCCGTCACACGGAACATGCTCGCTCTTTCAGCCCTGGGGACGTTATACTGTGACGGTCAATCCCATTATTCATAGGTAAAAGAGTTGGCTGTGGATGGTGTTCACTAGCTGTATCCCCTCTAGTCTATCACTCCAAAAGTTGGGACGGCACAGATAGCCCTCAGTGTAGCTTCGCGCGAAATTCAAATCAAACTAAATGATCATTCATTATTGAGATAGAGACTCGGATTATGCAGAACTGAATGATTTCGTGTAACATGTATATATATATACATACATACTTATATTTAAATATTCGATATTTATTGACTATATTTTTTTGTGTGGATTCTTCAGGGCCCAGGAAAAAAATTCGTCGGTGGTCAGCGTGCTGGTAGCACAAAAGCAGACAGTATAGCTAATTCTTAGATAATACCAACTTGCTAAGGAAATGACGTTTAATTGAAGTTTCAGTGACGTGTCCCAGCAACAGGAGATGCTCAGCGTATCTTTTTCAATTATCCGTAACGATTACACTTCAGAGTGATGTGGCAGCATACAGTAGAGAAGTCAAATTGGCCTCGAACGAAATCGTTGAGCTCCAGACCACGCGAAAAAATACAAACCAAAAACAAAGGAATTTGAAGATCAACCTTCGACTTGTAGCTCTTTCGATAAAAAAAAAGAAACTTGTATCTGAAGTCTAGCAACAGTCGTTGTTGCGCGCGCGCGCTCTCTCACTAACCTCCTGATTTTCTCGTACATTTTATAATCGGGTACTTCCACGTAAATCTTTCTAAATCAACTGAAAGTTCAAGTTGACAGCAGCTTCGATGAATTAATTTGTTAATAATATCACACATTAAAAAAAAATGTCTTTCATAAATTTCGCGCAAAGATACACGACGGCTATCTGTGCTAGCCATCCCTAATTTAGCAGTGAAAATCACCACCCACCGCCAACTCTTGGGCTACTCTTTTACCAACGAATAGTGGGATTGACCGTCACATTATAACGCCCCCACGGCTGAAAGGGCGACCATGTTTGGTGTGACAGGGATTCGAACCCGCGACCCTCAGATTGCGAGTCGTGTGCCTTAACCACCTGGCCATGCTTTAGTGTTGTAAGTGCGTAGACTTACCGCTGTTCCGAGATTGTTAGTAGGGTTAAAGTTAGATCAGTAACATCAAATTCGCACAACGTGTGTACTTAGTTAACGTGTCAAATATTCTGACCAAACGCTAGTGTAAAGTATAAGCTCATAAGTTAACGATCTTGGTCTTATTTCCTTGTGTACTTGAATAATTCATAGTGAAGACAAATAATTCAAACAGATCTAAATGTTTGTCATTGAGCTAGTTTTCTCTCAAAAACTTTTGTTTCTTTAAAGATGTTCGTTCAAGTTTGTTTGTTTTTTAATTTTGCGCCAAGCTACACGAGGGCTATCTGCTCTAGCCGTCCCTAATTTAGCAGTGAAAGATTAGAGGGAAGGCAGCTAGTCATCACCACCCACCGCCAATTATTGGGCTACTACTTTTATCAACGAATAGTGGGATTGACCGTCAAGTAATAACGCCCCCCATGGCTGAAAGGGCGAACATGTTTGGTAGAATGGGGATTCGAACCCGCAAATTGCGAGTCGAGCGTCCTAACCACCTGGCCATGCCAAGCCGTTTCGTGCAATATCGTATATAACTTTGAATTGATAGACTAGAGGGAAGGTATCTAGTCAAGCAGCACTCATTGTCATCTCTTGGTTTGTTCTTCTCTGACTTAATAATGGGATTTGACAGTCATTCTTATAACACATCTACAGCATCAAAGTGGGAAGGGCATTTTTGCGGCAACTGGCCGCGAACAATGAACCCTCGGTTGTTTTAGAACAAAGCCACAACGGGCTATCTGCTGTGTCCAGCACGGAGTCTTTTTTTTTTCACTTTGTTACAAAGTAGTGTACGAATTCTTACAATCTTTTTTTTTGTGTTGACCTTAAAATAATATCTTAAAATTTACATAGCGTTTAAAACTAACCTGATATAAGAGTAAAACAAGTGAGATTATTGCTGGTTGTTGACAACTTTGTAACAGAACAAACAGAGTAATCTGAAGACTACTACCAGAAACAGAAAATCTTTAACATCCACCCTTACTGCTAAGATGATATTTAAACAAAGCATTCATGATGTTAGCTAAACACGTAGGTTAAAAAAATCAATTTAACACAATATTACAAAATCTTAAACCAAAGGTGGCCTGGTGGTTAGGGCGCTTGACTCGCAAACTGAAGGTAGCGGGTTCGAATCCTCGTTCCACCAAACATGCTCGCCCTTTCAGCCGTGGTGGCTGTATAATGTGACGGTCAATCCCACTATTCGTTAGTAAAAGAGTAGTTCAAGAGTTGGTGGTGAGTGGTGATGACTAGCTGTCTTTTCTCTAGTCTATCACTGCTATGTTAGGGGCGGCTAGCACTGATAGCCCTCGAGTAGTTTTGCGCGAAGTTTCAAACAAATCAAACTATCGAAATGTGGACTCATTTCTTGCAACAAAGGAAGTAAGCCCTGATACTCATCACGATTCGAAGAGACAAAAGTAGTTTGTGTTCTGCATTACGCTAACAGTAACAAGATTCTATTGAAATCTTTTGCAAGGTTATGCTATGATGACATGTGATATACTCTACTAGATGACTTTCTTGGTGTCTGTGTTATTCTATACAAGCAAAAGTGCTCGTCCCCTGTGACTAGAAAAATTTAAGTTAATCTAGCAAAAGTATCCGTCCCCAGTGACGGAAAGAGTTTAAGTTAATCTATCAATATGTTTATGTCTTTCTCGGTGTTTGTGTTATTCTATACAGGCAAAAGTACCCGTCCCCAGTGACTAGAAAAGTTAAAGTTAATCTATCAATATGTTTGTCTTTCTCGGTGTTTGTGCTATTCTATATTATTCTGAACAGCTATTAATGATAGATAACACATACTTTTTTCCACAACTAAGGTACAAAAACATGTACTCTAAGAAAGGAAACTTGGTTTTGGTGACGTACAACCTTAAACCAAAATAAGTTATCATATCCTAAAACTACGTTTCAGAATCTACCTAATTTGTATATGTAGGTATCTTATAAACCATTATTCGACAAAAGTGTATATATATGCACGTGTGTGTTCGATTACAGCTAGCGAATCGCTGGATCGATTATCACCAAACCTTACATGAAATCCTAGGTTTCCCAGAGAGTGACATATGAGAGGGGGGAGGGTCGGAATTCTGGTCTGATTCCCTCCTATGTCTTTACCGTGCATTGAATGGGTACATCAACTAGTATGGTATAAATGAAAACAGTAATAAAACAATTAAACAACAACTAAGTAAAGCGTTCGAGTAACAGGTATCAATAAAAATCGAAGAGACTTGTAGGATTTCCAATCGTATTTTTAATGGTTTTCTTTTCTCAGACTATTTGCAATGTGACAAGTCGTCTAGGGTTAATTTTCAGGTAAACCATCTGCAATATGGTGAGTTAACTTACAGGTAGTTTGTTTTTATGTCGGTCTCGATATAACGGTTCTCTTTTTACCACACAAGATACGCTTAAAAGCATTCTGAAAATCTGGACTGAATATGGTATAAATGATTGGATTTAGCATCGAGTTGATATAGCCTAGCCACAAAAAGAAACTGAAGAGCATGTCGCTGAGCTCGCAGGAACTACAGATGGGCATCAACAGAGCCATAACGAAGAATGGCAACCAACAAATCACGAATACTCCCGTAATAATAACCAACGTCTTAGCCGCTTTTCGTTCCCTCCGGGATTGGATACTCTCACGTCTTTGTTTGTGGTCTCGCTTGGCCAGAGCCACCAATCGGGTAATACCACCAGGGGATGTGGAAGTTATGCCATTAGTATTGATGGAGCTTTTCTGTGGGCTGTTTGGACACGTTTCAGTTGTTGAATGTGTATTTTTAAGCACAATGATTGCTTTGGATCCTGGTTTGTGACGAATTCGCTTCCTAGCGACCTGGAAGATCTTCCAGTACAAGATGAGTATGACCACGAGAGGGAGGTAGAAACTGGAACAAGTAGCGAAGATCTGGTAAGCTAGATCTTGGCTCAAGAGACAACGTTTCTCCACTTCTATCCTCCTTTTAAACTCGGCATCCTTCCAACCGAAGACAGGAGCGACGGACACGACTAGGGCCACACACCACGCTGAGAGAATCAGTACTCCAATCCGACGACGACTACGTTGTTGGGCGTAGTTGACTTGAGTTATTGCCCAATATCTGTCCATGGCAATGGCTAGTAAATGTAATATGGAGGCAGTGCAGCAGAGGACGTCACAAGACGTCCATACGTCACATAGCTCGGGATCCAGCTTCCATTCGTGAGTAACCTCGTACACAGCGCTTAAGGGCATCACTAGGCAGGCCACCATTAAATCTGCTACAGCCAATGACAGGACCAAATAATTTCCTACAGAGTGTAAATTCTTCTCAATCATGATAGCTGCGATAACAAAGAGGTTCCCGATAACTGTTGTCAGAATTAGCAAGCCCAAAATTACGGACACTGTAATCTGAGATAAAGAGCTAATTTCAAAGGAACTAACCTCCGTGGTGTTAGTCAGCGTCTGGCGGTCATGAAAAGAACCAGCTGTGTGCATCTCACCCAAGACTTGAGAGAAAAGAACGAGCATTCTCCAAAGAGCCAGAAAAGGCGTAGGCAGAGTTTCGTTAACAATATTTATTAGCAGTGTAACTGCTTTTCATATTAAACCTAGGCTAATCACTAAGCTTTTCTGTGCTATTATCACTTGTTTATCTCTCTCTATTCGGATTTTACGACTTATTAATACTTTATCTCCATATATATATATATATATACACATACGGAGTTAACTTGTGCTGTTATCACTAGTCCATCTCTCTATATATGGATATATCAGCGAAAGGAAGCAATTTCACGATTTATCAACACTTTATCTCCATATATTTGTATACGGAGTTAACTTTAACAGTTAATACCCATCACCTAGTTCGTGCATGGATACTTATTTAACGTTCCAACCTTCATTAGGGTTTCTGAGACAATTCCCCCCAAAAATTTTTTTGGAAATCCAATATCCTGTTTTGATGTTCACTTAAAGAGAAAACCTACATGCTTGCACACTTTGTGTTAAAGTCGCAATGATTTCTAGTAATCGCTTTCATCTTTTTTTTTTTTTCACTTATGATAGTCTCCAAATGTGTTCTTCCTTGCCTAATATTTTTTGCCATTTAAAAAAAAATTAAACAATTTTCTGAGAAATATCCGGATATCAATTGACTTTTAAATGCATCTCGTTTCAATATTTGCTCTAGAGTCGAATTTTCCGTGAAAGTTTCCTCATCAGCCACTCCAAGGAGTTTGAGCCTGTTCTCTGGAGTACAATAGATTGACTGCAAAAAATTAAAACAAAAAATTAATATCATGACAATTTACAAAATCTAGTGTATCACAAGAAACTTTGGAAATTTATTATCTTCATATCGTTACATTACATAAACCTATTCAATAGATTTTTGTGTAAGACTTGTTCAACGTTTAGACAACAAGGGCGTGGCTAGGCGTCAGTTTGAGTCCATACGGGAAGAGGGTGTTGGAGGGGATTGTCCCATCTTCCGCATTCAGATTACATTTCTTTCGTAAAAAATCTATGAAAATTAAACGTGCAGGAGACATAAAGTATTGTAAAAACTTACATTTTGATCATTGATATTTTTTGCTTCTAAATTTTGTTGGAAGAAAATAATCAGATAATGACTTTACCTCAAAGAAATTTCTATTCTTGAGTTTTGAATGTTACGCACGCCCCTAGTTATGCCCCTGAATAATAATAAAGATGAGAAACAACAAGAAGTTGTGTACTTGTAGGTCGACTTTTCAATCCATAATATGATGTCACTCGATGCCCAGAACAATTTTCCAGAAGGACCTAGTTGTTTGTTTGTTTTGTTGTTAAACCCAAAGCTTGAAATGAACTATCTGTGATCTGCCCACTACAGTTATTGAAACACGATATGTAATGTTTTCCAGAAAGAATAAGCAAAAATGTACGTTGTTTACTGGATGAGTATACTGTTTCAATGACGTCATCCATATCGTTAATTTTAGAAGCCAATCAGAAACTTGCACAATGATATGTTCCAAACCGACATAACAGACAATTTATGCCATACCCTAACTATATACAACTGTACTTTTTTTTTGGGGGGGGGGTGCACATTTCAACAGACTGGTGCTACAATGATATAAAATAAAAACACTGACCACTATTTTATTAGTTACTGATACGCCGACTAAACCCAAATCTCGTAGGTACTTT